GATAAGAAAGGGGAGGAGCGAGAACCCACTTCTCCATAAAAACAGATATCACAGTTTCCTCTTAGAGTGTGTCCACAGTTGTCAGATATCCATGCCATCTGTGAGTCATCTTTTGATTACATGGCCTAATTCTGCATGCCTTGCATATGAGCCTGGTCAGGCAGGATATCTTAGGTTCTTCCAAAGATGGGAGCTAAACAGAACCCCAAATACAGGAAGCCCTGAGTTCTAATTCTGACAGAGTCACTAGAAGGGAGCGAGAGATAAGGTGGCCTCTCCTGGACAGCCCTGGATAGACTTGGCAGCAGTGTGGAGCAAGGGAAATGAAAAATGATTTTGAATCAGAAGAATTGGGTAACAATCCCAGCACTGCCACTTCCTAGCTGTGTGACCTCCAGTAAGACACTTCATGGGCCTGAGTTTCCTCACCTATGAAGTGAGGATCAGAGTATCTGTGCTAATTCCCTCCTTATGGTAGGGATCAAATAAGAGAATGTGTGTAAAGAGCTCTGTGAACCCAGAGAATGCTGTATGAATGTCAGGGATGCAAAGGTGAGGCAGAATAACTATTATTCATGGAGATGATCAGGCCAGAAACAAGGAAACCTGAACTTTGGGGTGTTTTTTTTTTCCTTGGTGAGAAGTTAGCTGCAGTGGTATAAATCCACAGCTTTTTTAGTAGTTGACCTGACCTTCTATCTAAGTTGAGTACTCTGGGTTTTGGGACGTATTTTAGAGGCAGCTGGTTCGGTAGTGGACGGAGTGATGGATGTAGAGTCAGGAAAACCTGAGTTCAGATCTCATCTCAGCCATTTACTAGGTAGATGATCCTGGGTAAGTCACTGAACTGTGTTGAACCTCAATTTTTTCAACCGTAAAACAGGGATAATGATAACACCTCCCTCACAAGGTTGTAATAATCAAATGAGATAACATATGTAGAACACTTTGCAAACCTTAAAGTGTTATATAAATGCTAGCTATGATGATTCTCCTTGTGTTACATCCTGCCTGGGGGTCACCAGTCTAGAGGCCTACTCTCATTATGCTTTGCTGCTGGTGGCAGTGGAGACTGGTATCCCTAGGGGAGCGGGGTGGGCCCAGTCTATATTTTATCTCCACTTAAAAAAAATAACCAGCAAAGAATTACCCCTGGTAGCAGCTGTCACAGATGAAAAGGCTGCGTCTACAGAGAAGCATCATCAACTCACTGGTGTTTGGACACGAGGCTCTCTAGGGAAGGTCACGGATTCCCCCAAGGCATTCTTCAGGGTCTCCTTCATCATGTGGGCCTTCAAGCAAGCAGAGTAATTTGCAGAGGCAGCCGGGGACAGCTCCCCAAAGGCTGTGTCTGAGGATCCCCCATGGGCCCCAAGAACCAGTAGAAGGGGTATCAGGCCAGCAGGGGAGTGGGGTTTTCCCCTTTTCCCAGAAAAAAATCCCTCTGCTGGAGGCTGGGTGGGCCTTCTGCTGTGTGATACAGTGGATAGGGTACTGATCTTGGAATCAGGAAGACCAGGGTTCTGATCCTGCCTCACGTATGTGAACCGCTAAGTCACTAATTAATCTCTTTCAGCCTAGTTTTCTTATCTGTAAAATGAGGGCACTGAATTCAATGACCTCTAAAGGTATTTTCCAGCCTTAAAATATATAAACAATGTCACAAGGCAGATTGTCCAATCAAGGGTCCAGGATATTTCTTTTGGAAAGAGCTAATCAGACAAGTTTCCCGTCAGTGAACCCTAGGCACTCATGTCTTAGCCTGGGCAAACTTGAATGGAGGGTTCCCATGCACTCGCTCAATATTCAGGGGGTCCACTAGTACCATGTCATCCGGAGCTAAATTTAGAAATCTGTGTTTATTGAACAGATGTCTGCTTGGTAAATGCCCTCCCAGTTCAGAGCCAGAAGAAACCTTGGAGACTATTGAGTCAAACCTTCTTATTTCAGCAAAGGAGGAAACAGGTCCAGAAAGAATCTGGGACCTGTCCAAAGGCACACAGGCAGTAACGGGCAGAATTAGGACTTGAATCCATGCTCCCTGACTCCAAATCCTGAGCTCTTTTCACTAAAGCACACAGCCCCCTTTCTCACAGTAGTCAGAGCTTAAGGGCCAGAGCAAGACCACCTTCCATCAGAATGCTGGTCTGACCCCAGGAGAGATGCCCAGGCATAGAGCAGCAAAGTGTCCAAAGGCTGAGTGAGACTCTAGGAAAGGCCAACAGGTTAAAATCCCTCTTGATTTCTCCTGGGCCACGCACTTATCTCCAAAGGCCTTCTGGGAATGCTGCCCCTTTCTCCCTTGCTGAGTAGTAAGGGTTCTGGAGCCAGAGGGAATAACTGAGATCTCTTCTCACTCTGGAACTCTCTCTATGATATCTACGCATTTCTGAGACGGTACTGCCTGAGGCTGTCCCAAGATCCCTTTCCCAAAGAAGGTCTTGGCTTTAGGACTTGGGGAAACACTTGGGCTCCAATTACTGGTGATATCTTAGCTCTCCAACCAATTAAAATTTCATCATCTCTCCTCCAACCCTGGTGGACAAAGAGCTGCACCAGGTCAAGAAATATCTGCTAGCTACTACTCTTGCTCAGAAATTTTCCCCCCTTAAACTCCTGGAGGAATCAAACCTATAAAGAAAGGATGAAGCAGAAAAAGGCTCTTTTAAACAAACCCAGAAACTCACAACCTCCCCTCAGTCTTTATTTATTTATTTCTTGCTCTTCATAGGATTCTATTCTGTACTTGGGCAGGGGCTGCTGCTCAATTTAGCTTGAACATAATGAAGAAACCAAGGATCCCAGCCTAGGGGGCAAACAAACAGTCTAATGTGGAGAGTCTGTAACAGGCGAATCTTAGAATGAGCCACAGTCCAGCAGCTGGGTGGCTGCTGGCTTTCTGCTGGACAAAAGCTGCCACGTGGCTGCAATTTTAATGTTCCAGGCATGGACAAGAAGGAGGGAGGGGGCTGTTTGCTTGTGTGTGTTGTGGGAGAGGGTCTGTGGGTAGGGGCAGGGACAAAAATGCTGTCTGGATTTTCTTGGGGTCTGGCTCAAATGAAAGGCAGTTCTTTCAAATGAAAGAACACTGATCCACGGATTGGAAAGCTGAGGTTCTAATCCTGACTCTTCTATTAACTCACTGTGGAACCTTGAGCAAATTACTTCCCCTCACTAAGCCTCAGTTTTCCTTTTCTGTAGAATGGAGATTCCAGGGCCTACCCCTACTGTAGGTGCTGTAAAGGAAGAATCTGAAGTTATATAGTAATATGAACTCAAAGGATTATAGATTTAGAGCCAGGGAGGACCTGAGAGGTCATGTAGTTCAATCCCACTGCTTCCTTTCACTTAGAAGGAAATCTCCTAAAGAGGACCTCATCCATAAAAGCTAAGTGACTTGCCCAAGGTCTATCAGGCTGTAAGTAAGTAACAGAGCTGAGATAGGAAACCAGGTCTTCTGATTCCAAATTCAGTGATCTTTTCCCAATGTACCGCAGTAATTTAGGCGAGTCTCTTGGCTGTGGGGGGAGGTGGCAGCAGAGACTTTGAGACCCTCCAGACAAGCTGTCCCATAGCTCGTCCCACTGTTTGACTGGCTTTGGAAAGATTTCTTCACCTTAAGGGATTGGAAAAATTCAGCAATTCATAAGATGCTGAAAACTATCTGAAATCTATCACAGTTGCTGCAATGGGGTGTCTGGGAAAAGCAGATAATTTTCCCCCTGTTTCCCTCTTTAAAGTTTTTAGAAATGAAAATGAATGGTTTTCAAAGCTCATTTGATACTCACCATAACCCTGAAAGGTTGGTAGTTCAAGGATTATCATCCTCATATGATAGATTAGGAAACTGAGGCCCAGAAAAGGATAAGTAGTGGATAGTTCAAAGATTATCATCCTTATTTGGTAGATGAGGAAACTGAGGCCCAAAAAGTATAAGTGACGTGCCCAGGGTCACATGGAGGAATAAAGACTTCTGACTCTAAATCTAAGTACTTCTTTCCACTAAACCTCAGCTGCTTCTATGAGTCACTCATTTCTGGGTATGTGATTGATAGCCTGGGGAAGGTTAAGCTATGCAGCCCACAGACCTGCCAGGAGACCTAGCTTATGGTTAAGCCTGTATTTACTGCACCTTCTGCAGGGCATGGCCTGCTCAAGTGGTTGGGAGAGCTATCCCAGCTTTGTAAGAGTTGTATTTCAAAGGCTTATTGCCTTTAAGGGTCCTGAGCAGGAAGGAGCAGAGAGGAGTGAGGAGGGGAAAAGGTAGGATGTGCTAAGAAACTTTTCTCCTGACTCCTTGTCCTTGTCTTTCGAAAGAGAGTGTGAAGAAGGTTAAAAATAGTCCATTTAAAGAGGAGAGCAAATCTCTCTGCTCCAGGAGACCCATGTACAGGCACTGTGCTGGCGTCTTCTCCCTTTCACAGAGGGAGAGGTCTGATTCTTTTCTTCCATTCCCTTGTCTTTTCGGTTGGAGAAATTTTGCTTTTGTGCAGCCTGATGCTCTCTGCTCTGGTCTATGGAGGATTAACCTATGCTCTATTGCTAGGTGGCCTTGTAACCGAAACAAGGAAACCTGGCAAATCTGGGCTGCTTACTGCTCTCCTGCTTCTCTTGTTTGGGTTCCCAGAGTTTGCCCTACAGGTCTTTGCCGGTGCGGGTTTGGGTGGATGGTCACGTGACTTCCCTGTCCAGCTCCGGATGGTGACAAAAATAACCAGGCAATGCCTTCCTCGCTGCGGGACCCCTTTCATGCCCAGTCCCCTGCCTCAGCTAAGCTCTCCTTAATCTGTCTCATTCTTTAACTCATGTGGTGGGAATAGAGGGGTGTAGGAAGGAGGGGCTGTTTACTTGTGGGAGGGAAATGTTCTTCTGCAAGGTAAGAGATGGATAGACTCCCCGGCCTCACGCACCTGCTGATAATGGTAAGAATGTGGAACTTAGAGCTAGTCCCCTGCTCTGCTGAGGGGACAGAATCAAGCCTGCTTAATCATGTCTGGGGCAGCTTGGGTAAAACCCTTCTCATCCCAGCCCCCAGCTCCTCTATTGAAGTTGCTCCCTCACTGGATGTCCATTGGCTGGGTTTTTTAAAGTGAAGATTCTGTTCGTGTATGAGTTCAACTGGATAGCCATTGGGTTCCCTTCTGAGGTGAGTAAAATCTAGTCTGCCAAGGCTAGGCTAGTTTTTTCCCTAAAAGGTAATGAAATTATCCTTGTCCCTAAGGAGACTAAAGTGCCAACTTTTGGGGTTGGGCTTCCTGGTCCCCTAAATACAAAAAGCCAGCCCGGGGGAATTGGGTCTCCTCCAGCTTAATACACACTTCTTAAAGGCCCCACCACAGCAAATAAGGAGGCAAATGAGCTTCACTCAAGTGAAAGAACACTATATCCTTGCTGAATAGCCTCTTTATGTTATTGTTATGTATACCTCCTTTTGTTAAATGTAAGATGGTCTAAGAACATATCATTTTGTTTCATTTCTTAGCCTAGACTTGAAGGTATCAGACCTGTCCTGAACAACTCCCATTTTTCTGTGGCTCTATGAAACAACTAGGTGGTAGACTGGATAGAGTGCTGGCCTTGGAGTTAGGAGTACAAATCCTGCCTCTGACACTCACTAGCTGTGTGACCCTGGGTAAGTCACTTTATCTCAATTGTAAAATGCAGATTATAGCACCTAACCTCCCATTAAATGAAAATCTGTAACGTTTATAAAGTGCTTAGCACAGTGCCTGACGCAGAGTAGGGACTTAAAAAATGCTTATCTCACTCTTCCCCCCCCCATGACTCCTTCATGGTCTAACTTAGGTGCCACGTCTAGCATAACATCTTCCTTTACCCTGTACCCCCTCCCCAGGTGAAAGTGATCTGAAGCCTGACACTTCTCCCAAAGGTCTTCCTCTTTTCCCTGCTTCCATTTTCTCTACTGGCAAGTGGAAACTGTCCCTGGAATACTGTATACTTTCTTCTTCCTTCCAGTCTGCTTGCTTGGGGCAGGAATCTGGCTGTTTTCATTTAGAGGACTGGCTTATTAAGTTAGCCCTCAGGATTGCTTCCCTCTTCACAGGCACGCATCCTGTGGATTTCCCCCTCCTCCTTCCCAGGCGGCACAGAGGGCCTCCGTGTAACATTCACTTTCCACTTCTCCTCTTCTGAATCCCTCACACACACACAATCTTGTGTGTGTCCCACTCATCGGCATCAGAGTTCCCCTGGGGCAGGGGGGAGCCAGGGACGAGCCAGGGGGCCAGGAATGGGAATGTGGAACACAACAGCCTTAGGGAATTCTGTGACTCTCCTTGTTCCCTCGTCCTGGACTAAGCAGATTACAAAGACAAATTCCTTCTACTGGACAGAATACTGGAAGACTAATTAATTGCTCTCTGTCCCAAGGCCTCATCCTCTCCCAATTGTGATGGAAAGCAGGACTGACCAGGGAGAAGAGATAAGGGAGTTGAGAGGGGCTTCAAAGAAAAGAGGGCTTTTGGTAACTACAGCCCCCTCCCATGGTGCCACGGCCTGCCGACAGTGTTTGACTCCTGCGGAATTTAGATAGTGCTGCCCTTTCCTCCTCTGGAAAAACTTTCCTTGTCCCTAGAAGATCCCTGTTTGTTCTAGAGGCCCCTTTCCTGAGCAGGCGCTAGCCAACCAGAGATCCTTGACCATTCCTGCCCCTTACTCAGCTCCCTGGGGCTTCTAGCTGGCAAGCTGGCACTGGAGGGGTCCTTGCCACACCTCACTGTGCTTCCCTGGGGCTCCCTGCTCAGGAAATGGGAACATTCTGTACTTTGGCTCAGGCTGATAACTTGTCTGAGTAGGAGTTTCGGGCAGCAGTCCCACAAGCCTGGCCTGGCACAGGAGGGTGTTACATTAAATGAAGCAAGTGTGGGAGGCAAAGGGGTGGATGGTGGGTGTAGTTCCCCTGAAGAGGCCATGTGACTTGGGTGAGAAGGAGCCCTCAGCTCCTAGATCTGCTCCTCCCTTATTATGTGTGATTTAGAACACCTTCGTGTAGTGGAAATAACCCTAACCTGGGAATCCTGCAGAAGATCCAGTTCTCCCACAAATTTACTTAACTCACCCTAGGACCTTGGTTGAATCACTTGCTCTTTTTGCGCCTCAGTCTGCCCAAATGTAAAATAAGAAGGCTGGCCTAAATGAGTTCTTAGAAGTTCTATTTCTAACATTCTGATTTCTCAGTTCAGATCAGTTTCCTATGCTATAAAACAGGAAATCAAGCAATCAATAAGCCTGTATTACGTGCCTACTATGTGCCAGGCACTGTGTTAGGCACTGGGGATAGACATAACAAAAAGAAAACAGCCTTTGCTCTCAAGCACCTTAATATTCTATTAGATCAGACAACTTGGACAGAAAGAAGAAAGAGACTTCTAACACTGCTCCCTATAGTCTCCAACGGCGGGAAGAACAGAGACAAACTCGTTAATTTGAAAAGTTTTTATTTCAGGTTAGCTCTAGCTCAGAGCTTAGGGGCACCAGCTTCTACTTTAGCAGGTACCTGTGGATTTCAGCTAGGCTCCTGAAGGTTCCAGCTGGCTAGGTTAATCCAATTTATAATTCATCAACTTGTAATTAGCTGGATATTTAAAGTATCTATTTAGATGCTGACTCATTTGCTGGAGCCGCTCTCTTGTCTGATTGCCACTCTCCCTCTGCAAGGCTCCTGAGCAGGAGTGATGAGTGCAGGGAGTGGGACCAAGGATGGTCTCACCCCACCCTTCCCCCTTCCATGTATCTACATCCTATTCATCCTTTAAAGCCTAGCTCCCATATCAAGCCTTCTGGGATAACCTCCAGTCAGCATTGATCTCTCCCCTTCCTGACTGCCCAGAGCACTTATCGACCACTATATATTTTGGCACTTGATATATTCAACTGAGTCCTTGATTATACACTGTCCTTTCTTGTTTTCCAATTGTTTCATGCTTGTAATTATTGCCTCTCCAATTCAAGAAACTTTTTAGGTACCTACTGTGCTAAACACCAGAGACATAAAGAAAGGCCAAAGTCAGCCCCTGAATCCGAGGAGTTCACAGCCCAACGGGGACAACAATGTGAAAATAACTACTGTATGTACAAACAAGATCTATATAGGACAAATTGGAACGCACTACCATTAATGGCGATCAGGAAAGGCTTCTAGTAGAAGATGGAATTGTGGCTGGGACTTGAAAGAAGCCAGAGAAACCAGGAGGTGTTGAAGAGAAGGGAGAGTATTCCAGGCATAGGGAAGAACCAGTGAAAAATGCACAGGCTGGGAGATGAGTGTCTTGTGTGAGGAATAGCAGGGATGCCAGTGTCGCTGGACTACAGAGTGAATGAGGAGAGGAGTAAGGTGTGAGAAGACTAGAAAGGTAGGACGGGGCTAGGTTGGGAAGGGCTTTGAATATTAAATAAAGGATTTTGTATTTGACCCTGGAAATGATAGGGGTTTGTTGAATGGGAGGGGTGGGGTGAGGAAGGGGTGTGACTTAGTTAGATCTGTGCTTTAGACTTTTTGAGGGGAGGCAATCAGGGTTAAGTGTTTGCCCAACATCACACAGCTAGTAAATGTGTGAGGTCAAATTTGAACTCAGGTCCTCCTGAGTCCAGGGCCGGTGCTCTGTCCACTGTGCCACCTAGCTGTGCCTGTGCTTTAGACTCTAATGGGGGGAAGAGGGGAAATGCACATGCATACAATTTATTCAACATTTATTCAATAAAGATTTATTAATCCTACTATATGCCAGGCCCTGTGATAGAGTAAAGTGATACAGAGACAAAAAGAGAAACAGCTTGTCTTCGAGAAGTTTATAGTCTAAGGGAAAGCACCTAGCACATAGATAACTAAAATATAGATAAAATATAAAACTAAATATAAATATATATAAAATACAGACGTATGTAGATATATAAGTCTATGTAAGCTATATAAGTTACATAGCTATATAGACATAGATATATAAAATATAGACAAAGAGAAAACAAAGTAAATGTTGGGAAAGGAGTCTAGGAGGACAAATCATACATGGGGAGATCAAGAAAGGCCTAGAATGGAGTCAGCACTTGAGCTGATCCTTGAAGGGAGTTAGTGGTTCCAAGAGGTAGACATTTTGAGGCATGAGAGTCAGTTTGTCCAAAGGCAGAGAGAGGTTATAGAAAATTCCTTTGGGGGAACAACAAATAGGCCAGTTTACCTGGATCCATAGAATGTTGTGAGGGGGATTATTATGAAATCAGCATGGAAAGGTAGGCTGGTGCCTCAATGAGAAGGACTTTCAATGCCAAGCAGAGGAGTTTGGATATTACCCAAGAGATGAAAGGGAGCCATTAAAACTACTTTTGTGTATGTGCATTTCATTGCATTTTATTTTTAATATGCCTCTTGTCTTTATATCACAGGTAGTTCTCACCCTATAGATGGAAGTTTCCCTTCTAACTAGGAAAAGCAATTAGGTAAAAACATCTGATACATAGACTACATCTGGCTGTGTATGTAATACTTTGCCAAAGCATTCCCTTACTTCTCCATTGTAAGGAATGGCATTATGTTTCATTATCTTTTACTGGGAACTTTGAGGATTTTTCAGTTACTCAGAGTTCGATTTTATTTTAGTGATCTTTTAACTTGCTTTGTATTTTCTTAGCTTTGCTTACTTGGCTCTGTATCAGTTCATACGCATCTTCCCACATTTTTCTGACTTCCTCATATTTGTCATTTCTTATTGCACAATAATAGGCAGTGAGGTGATGCAATAGATAGAGTGCCCCGCTGGAGTCACAAAGACTCATTTTCCTGAGTTCAAATCTGGCCTCAGACACTTACTAGCTGTGTGACCCTGGGCAAGCACTTAACCCTGTTTGCCTCAATTTCCTCATCTGTCAAATGAACTGGAGAAGGAAATGGCAAAACACTCCAATATTTTTGCCAAGAAAACCCTAGATGAGGTGAACAAAGGGTCAGACATAACTGATTAACAACAAAAACACTGCACAATAATGTTCTACTTCATTCACATATCATGTTTTTTTCATACTAAAACTTTTTGATGCAAGGTAGGGAGGGATAGAGGGAGTTTATATTTGACCCTGGAGGCAATAGGGATCCCACTGATGGGGCTTCTAGGGTTCAGACTTGTGCTTTTGGACTGTCGATTTGGGAGTTATACGAAGAATAGAATAGAGAGGAGACTTGAAGCAGGGTGACCAGTTAGTAGGTGATTGCTTTAGCCCAAGCAAAAAGTGATGAAGGCATCATCTACAGTGGTGGTCATGTGAGCTAAGAAAGCTACACAGGTGCAAGAGATGTTGTGGAGGTATAATCGACCAGACTTGGCAACCTTAACATCATTTCCCACCTGATCGTTCTCCTGGACTTCATCATTATATTCAGCAACTCATCTTCCTGCAAGATCACATCAACTGTAAAATTCATACCTCCTCAGTATTCCCTGCCCCTAGGATCCCTCTCTCCCTCTGTTTGGAGATGGTGGAGAGTGGACATGATTCAAGAGTGAAAAGAAAGAGTGAAAGTCTAACTTTTGGTTAGATTTGGTCATCTGAAGATAGTTTATATAATCATGAAGTTTGCTCCTCCCAGATCCTCCATTTAAGAAGGGTGCCCAGGGCAGCCACCTCATAATTTCCTACCCAGCTGCAGAACTTCATCATACCCTTATGTTGGGTACCCTCCCTCCTTCTTTCTTTTCCCTACTATTTTCAGCTTCTTTTTATGTGTTGTCTTTCCATATTAGATTGTGAATTCTTTGAGGTTAAGGACTATCTTTTGCCTTTCTTTGTATCCCCAGCTTTTAGTACAGAGCTTGACACATAAAAAGTGCTTAGTAAATATTTATTGACTGATTGATTAGATGGGGTAAGGAAAAATCAAGGAGAAATTTCCATCATTAGAAATAAGGAAGTTCAGAAGAAGGTTGGGTTTCAGTGGAAAGATAATGATTTTTGTTTTGGACATACTGAGTTTAAGTTACCCATGGAACATCCAGTTAAAAACATCCAACAGACAGTTGGTGATGTAGGACTGGAGATCAGTAAAGAGACTAGGACTGGTAATAATAGATCTGCATGATAATTGAATCCATGGGAGTTGATGAAATCACTGAGAGAGTGTAGAGAGAAAAGAGAAAGCCCAGGACAGATCCTTAGGTTACATCTTCCCCAGTTAAGGGGCAGGACATGAAAGAAGACTGAGCATTATCATAAAAATCCAGAGAAGAAATGTCAAGAGGATAAGGTAGTCAACAGTGTCAAATGCTGCAGAGAAGTCAAGAAGGGTGAGAAATGAGAAAAAGCCAACAAATTTGAAAATTAAGAGACAAATGTTAACTTTAGAAAGAACAGTTTTAGTTGAGCGGTGGTTGAGTAGTGTGGTCAGAATAGAGCTTGCAAGAGGTTGAAAAGTGAGAAGAGAGGAAATAGAGAATAAATAGCATTTTATGAAATGTGAAATTTAGCCCAAACACTTTATTTTGAAGAAGAGGTTTGTGAAGCTCAGGCAGCAGAAGTGATTTACTTGAGGTCATTTAGCTAATCTATAGCAGAGCCAGGATTGAAAACAAGTTTCTGAACACTGCCTCATTTGAATCTGATTTTACTATACACAAATGTGAAGATGGGTGTGTCAAAGAAGAAACATAATATCATGTTCCCTGAACCTCCCATCCTCTGAGAAATGGTCCTGGTGGCAAGAGTTACCTTGAACAGGAAGGAGGCATAGACAAGTGGGCGGATCCCAAATCCTACATGTGGACACCATCTTGTCCAATCTCTTATTGTTAAAAACAACAACAACAACAACTCTTTTTGGGGTTACATTTTGAGTTCTGAGCTGTCTCCCTCCATCCCAACCGCACACTAGAGAAGGTCAACATTTGACACAGACATATATATGTGAAATCATAGAACACATACTTCTGTATATCAGTTCCTTCTCTGGAGGTAGATAGCACCTTCCTTCATAGGTCCTTTGTAGTTTACTTGAATATCAATGTTACTCAGAATAGCTTAGTCATTCACAATTACTCTTCCAACAATATTACTGTTACTATATACAACATTCTCTTGATTCTGTTCATTTTACTCTTCATTATTTCATGCAAGTCTTTCCACGTTTTTCTAAAATAAACGTGCTCATCATTTCTTACAGCCCAGTAGTATTCCATCACAATCATAACCATAACTTATTCAGCCATTCCTCAATTGATGGGCATTCCCTTATTTTCCAGTTCTTTGCCTCCACAAAGAGAGCTGCTATAAACATTTTAAAACATGTATGTTCTTTTCCTTTTTCCCTGATCACCTTGGGAAACAGACCTAATAGTGGTATTGCTGGGTCTAAAAGTATACACAGTTTTATAACTCTTTGAGTATAATTCCAGATTGCTCTCCAAAATGGGTCGGATCAATTCACAATTCTACCAACAGTGTCCTAGTGTCCCAGTGTCCCAATTTTTCCACATCCCCTACAACATTTGTCATTTCCCCCTTCTATCATTTTAACCAATCTGATAGGTGTGAGATGATATCTCAAAGTTGTTTTAATTTGTATTTCTGTAATCAATAATGATTTAGAGAATTTTTCATATGACTATATATGGCTTTGATTTCTTTTTCCAAAAACTGCCTGTTCATATCCTTTGACTATTTATCAGTTGGAAAATGACTCATTTTCTTATAAATTTGACAAAGTTCTCTATATATTTGAGATATGAGGCCTTTATTCAAGAAACCATCTATAAATATCTTCCCCAATTTTCTGCTTTCTTTCTAATCTGGGCTACATTGGCTTTATTTGTACAAAAACTTTAAAATTTAGTGTAATCAAAAGTATCCATTTTACATCTCATAATGCTCTCTATCTTTTGTTTATTCATAAATTCTTCTATCCATAAATCTGACAGGTAATATGTTCCATGTTCTTCTAATTTACTTATTGTATCTTCCTTTATGTCTCCAATCCCTTATTGTACGGGTGGGAAAATCTAGGTCCAGAGAGGCTTATCTCTGGGAAAACAGCTAATAAGTGGCAGAGCTGAGGCTAGAACCCAGTTTTCCTACCTGCCTTTTTATTCTTTCATGCCTATAGCTCTAAGATATATGTTTCGTTTGGAGGGAAGTAGTGAGTGAGAGGAATGATGTGAATCTGCTGAATAAAGTGGATTCTGATGTTAAATCTGTTATTTTCCCACCTTTCTTCTCCATATTGTCTTCATCCTTCCAGACCCAGCTTAAGACCCCGACCCTCTTCTCCATGAAACCTTAGTAGAGACATAGTAGAGAATTCTGGACTTGGAATCAGGAAGACCTAAGTTCAGATCCAGCCTCTGATACTAGCTGCTCAGCCCTGGGCAACTCACTTTCTACCAGCTTCACTTTC